GCCCCGGTGCCCGGCTCCGCGACCAGCCTGGCGTCCAGCAGCAGCGTGGAGGACAGTGACATGGACTCCGACGAGGACCTCGTCACACTGTGCGCCAGCCTCAGGAAGAGGAACAAGCCCAAGTGGGAAGACGAGGAGCTGCTGCGGCTGGAGACGCCGCGCAAGTGCCACACGCAGGTGGACTACGTGCACTGCCTGGTGCCCGACCTGCTGCGCATCAACAACAACCCCTGCTACTGGGGCGTCATGGACAAGTACGCGGCCGAGGCGCTGCTCGAGGGCAAGCCCGAGGGCACCTTCCTGCTGCGGGACTCGGCGCAGAAGAACTACCTGTTCTCGGTCAGCTTCCGCCGCTACAGCCGCTCGCTGCACGCAAGGATCGAACAGTGGAACCACAACTTCAGCTTCGACGCGCACGATCCCTGCGTCTTCCACTCGCCCGACATCACCGGGCTGCTGGAGCACTACAAGGACCCCAGCGCCTGCATGTTCTTCGAGCCCCTCCTGTCCACACCTCTCATTCGGACCTTCCCCTTCTCCCTGCAACACATCTGCAGGACGGTCATCTGCAACTGTACGACCTACGACGGCATCGCCGCGCTGCCCATCCCTCCGTCCATGAAGCTGTACCTGAAGGAGTATCATTACAAATCAAAGGTCAGCGTCCTTAGGCTCGACGCGGCCGAGCAGTGCTAGACGGCCCGCCGGAAGCGGAAGCGGAAGCGGAAGCAGCCCGTGCCTCTTTTCACTGGGTTCTTCACTCTTGCTCCGCCTCTGAAGTTTTCTCAAAGGCAATCGGAGTACAGAAGAAACCTCTGCCCATAATTTTACCTTCACATCAGTTTGTTTTTATGATACACTAATTATTTAAGGTTATACCCAAGAGGTTAATAGATATTTTTAACCAGATTTTTGGTTTTGCTATATAGATTATATACTTAAATTTTTTCTTTACCTAATTTATATATGGTCTAGGCATCTTTGAAATTTGATAGGATTGCAAATACATTTGAATAGCCTATATTTTTGTTTAAAAATAATCTTATTTGCTACATGTAAATTATTTCTTTAATCTATACCATCAGTATTCCTAAACACGAAATATTCTTTTTCCAGTCCCTTTTCATTGAGTTTTTAAATTCTTCAGCAGTGTTACAATTCATCCATACTAATGTAATTCATTCAGTTTTTTAACTTGCTAACAGCGATGTTAAAATAACAAAATGTTTCAAGTTAAATTTTGTGTTTTTTGGTTTTTGTTTAATTTTTTTATACCGGATCTCGCCGTGTACCCCAGGCTGGCCTTGAACTCATGGCGATCCTCTTGCCTTAGCTTCCTGAGTGCTGGAATTACAGCATCAGCAAGCCTAGCTTGTTTTAAATGCTAACTACAGGACTGGGGATTTAGCTCAGTGGCACTGTGCCTGCCTTGCAAGCGCAGCAACCTGAGTTCAAAAAGAAAAATGTCAAGCCTTTAAATACGAACTACAAAACAAGATCACTAAGGTTTTGATTAATGATCCCAGTGGGGACAGGGTCATTTGTTACATTGCTCAGTAGGTTCTCTCAGCCTTTAAACCATTTCAAAACATAAATGTTGTTCCTTCCTCCTGGGAATTTTAAAAATAATGATAACACTATTAGTAGCTAGTAGTCGCTACAGCAACTGGGATTTTTCTGTATTAATTTATGAACTGTTGCCCCTGTATTAGATCTTTTACACAACTCTGAGCTAGGAAACTCTGCAGTTGATAAATAGCCACAAACTTATATGGTAACCAAAGAGTACCTAGTGTTTTATTATTTTAAATTAAATCTGAGTAAAGATTCAAGAAATAAACATGGAGCTCACTATTGAGAAGGCCTAATTTTTTTTGATCTTCCAGTTTCAAGTACTTTTTCCCGTCCTCAGAATTAACTACATCTTTATTAATACATACATACATATATCTAGATAGATAGATAGATAGATAGATAGATAGATTTTTTTTTTTTTTTTTTTGTACTGGGATTGAACTCAGGACCTTGTGCTTGCTAGGCAGGCAACAGAACCACTTTGCTAAATCTCTGGCCTTTAATGTACATCTTTAATGTGGCTTCAAAAAAGAAGAGCATTTTGACAGGTACATGGCTTATATCACACCAAACAATAGGTTAAAAACAGTATTTCAAAGAACAGGGCACCATTCTTAGAAACATCATTAGTCCTGTGTAACTAATAATGATAAATGGACTGATAGCTCTTTTTTTTTTTTTAAAGAATCAATGCTAATATAGACAGATTACCCAATTTTTCTTCTGGTAAACTGTCTACTTTGTACAAGTTGGCATTTTTAATGTGGTTATCTCTTTATGCTGGTTTAGCTAGATTAGGAAACCTTTCTTCTACCTGGATTGGAAGAACTGTGACTCATGAATTTCCAAGTTAGAACAAAGTCTCTACCATCGGTTTTATGTCGAGAGAGCATATCCCTGATTTGTAGTTCTGCTGTTAACATAAAAATGGCGTTTCCAATAGTGGCTTTAAAAGAAATTTGTAGCAATTACACAATGAACCCAGAAAGTCTTCTTTGCCATTATCTCGCAGCCTTCACGTTCTCAGTGGTCTCCAGGTGGGTTCGGTCTGCAAGAGGAGAAGCTCCAGAAGTGAACCCTCTTCTAGCCGTGCTAGGGCTCAGAACGTTGTGACCCCCCCAACTCCAGGATAGGGTGACACTTCCACCTGGGCAGAAAAGTCTCACTACCTCGTCTTTATTGTGGCACTTTTGTGATCACTGAGAATCTTCTCTTACGAACCAATATCAAACTTCCTAAATGTCCATCTCTAGTGAAAGAGTGTGGTAAGACTCCACCCATGGTTAATAGTTTTTTATCAGAATTTGATAAGACTTTCTGTTTCTGTGAAACAATTATTTTAAATACTTTTCTTTTTAAAATAACTTTTTATCAGTACAGAAAAACTAAGGGATGACTAGCTTATGAATATTGTGTTAAAGGGTAGTTTTTTAAAGAAAAATGAAATATAATTATGTTGTCTTTTATAGTGGTAAAATGTTTGTATGAATGTTTAGCTTTTCATATAATTCAAACAGTGCTTGTGATATATTTTCTCTAGGTGTTTAATTTTTTTCAATTCAAGGAATTAACAGCTAATAACATTTTTTAAATACTGCCGTATGCATAGCCTTGTTGTCTAAATGAGAACAAGGAAGACTCATTTACTCTGGAATGGTTTGTATTTTTCCTTTGGTACTTGCTAAGTGAAAAGAAATTTGGAAGGTAGAAATAAAGACTTAAGAAGGGAATTACTTATCATGAAGGAAAAGGGAAGAGTGATAATTTTTGCAAACATTTAAGGATTGTAATTTAGAAAGGTTACAACCCCTTTTTTGTTTTTGTGAGACTATAACATTTGGAAGACCATCAGTATTCAAAACCTAGCTCACAAAAAGCTTAAAAATATATTTGTTGGCCAGGGATTTAGCTCAGTGGTGCCACTGCCTGCCTTGCAAGCACAAGGACATGAGTTCAATCCCTGGTACCCCCCCCAAATTTTTTTGTTGTACATATAACAAAAATGAGAAAATTTCAAGAAGAAAAATGTGATAATACAACATTTGAAACATTTGAAAAATGTATATTCTGGAGCTGAGAAAGCATTAGCACTGTGGAAATGTGTAGCTCTTGCTGGTGAGAGACTGGAGCTAAGGAACCCAGATAAAATATTCAAATTCAGAATTTTGGCATTAACCTCAGGGAAAAGCCTGACCGGAAGGGAGCCGCTCAGTGGCTAACAGCCAGTCTGGACCACGCACTTAGCTGCGCTTCGGGAGTCCTGTGCACATCAGGAAAAAAACTCAACTTTTCTATTTCTAAAGCTTCCCAAGAATGCCCTTCACCCCTTTTAAAATCGTACCATCTTGGTTCACACTGTAATTCCTGAAATATGCGGAACTGGACTTTTTTTTAGGTTCCTTCAACTTCTTGTATTGTGTCGTGTGTTTTTTCTATAACTGTGCCACTCATCTAAATAATTCATAACCAGAATGGTTTAATTTAAAGGAAGACCTAACAGGAAGATCAAAGGAAGCTTTTAGTCAGCCTGAGGCTAGATTTATTGATTCGGTGATCAGACCTAGGTACTTTGAAGAATTTCAGCTAATGGCCAACTGTGGTCAGAGGATGACTTTTCAGTGAAAGTTTTGATATCTTGTTATAAATTATAGAAAGTGTCTTAGTGATTAGAAATCCTTTAAAAAGTAGAACCAACCTGGCAAGTAAGACTCGTATCATTATACAAATTACATTTCTTTTTATAAGAAAAACTCGTAAGCCTTTATCATTTATTCATGAGCCAAAGCCATTAAGAAGATAAATCAGGTTATCAACTTCCTGTCTCTGAAGTTTGGATCATTTTATAGATCCATGTAATAGAGCACTTCCTTCCTGACATCTAACTCATACAGTCTTATTTTTTCTATTTAAGAAATTTCTTGCCATTTTAGCTCTCATCAGAATCCAACAAGTAGCTTATGTTTTGATCTGGGTGGAACAAATTTCACATGAAGATAGACAGACATTCCTAGAGATAAGAGTGTTTAAATGTAAAATTGCCTATGTAAGGTTAGGTAATTTAATGCCCAAGTGAATAAAAGATTTTAGGGTAAGGAATCCTTTTGTTTCTACTTTGGGGGAAAAAATGTCTACCCTTTTCTTTGAAGAAAAGTCTCACTTTGTCAAACTCCTGGTGATCCTCCTGTCTCAGCCCCCCAAGTGCTGGGATTACAGCACCACCACACCCAGCTACTACTTTTGTTTTACACTTGATTTTAGCCACAAGGCCAAGAAGCAATACTATTTTTGTTTTAACATAAGTGGTTTCCATTTTGATTTATAAAGAATGAACAGAAAGCACAAAGGGTTTTTCTCAATGGTCTACCAAAAATAAGTCTGTCTGTAATATTCTAATATATTGAGATGCTGAACACAAATCAGCTTGTAGGTACAATGGCGGCCACATGATTGTAATCTAAGGGAAAGGAGTTTAGGTACTTGAAACGTGTCTCAAAGCTAAAGAACATTTAGAATTCACCTTAGGATTTGGAGTATTACTCCATCCGAGATCTTCCTTGGCCTTCACTTCCTGTGAAGCGTAGGTAGTGATGCTTGTCACGTGATTTCTGCAGGTTAGCCCTCCATGAAGCAGTGACCCCAGGCGCATACTTGAAAATAGTTGCTGTGCAGCCCTTGAGCACGGAGGTGATGATGGGGTTAAAATTTGCCCCTGAGTAGACCCTGCCGGACCACACAGTCTCCAACAGGCTTCTCACTCCTTTCCTGACCCGGCAGCGGACCTAACAGTGCAGTTTCAGTCTGTCCTCGATTCTGCAATTAGAGAATTGCAATTTCCTTCTGCCCTTTATGAGGCCCATGGAAAATTGATATTTGCCTAACATTTTAAAAGTTGATTGCATTTGCAGGAAATGAAGATAATCAGTTTGCCATGTTTATAATCAAATCTAAGCTTTCAGACTTGAGAGCCAGGGTGTAAAACGCAAGGAAGTTTACTCAAGTTACCTTGCTAGAAGTGGCTTCTCTGTAAGCCAAGTATAAACAACATGTACTTGAATATACAGACTTTAAGTAGCAACTTCGAGAAGCATTTATTTTTGTCAGTTGGGATTGTATGATCCACTCTGTTCCCCAAAAGAAGTAGATATTTTCCACTCTTTATTTCTTTTCTTTCTTTCTTTCTTTTTTTTTTGTACCCGAGATCAAACTCAGGACCTTGCGCTTGCGAGGCAGGCAGCGGCACCACTGAGCTACATCCTGGGCCCCCAGTCTTTATTTCTGATGTTGATGCTTAATGTTTCTTCGTGGATGTAAGTTTAAATAATTTGATTTGAATAAATTTTCATTTAATTAAATCTTCATATATGAAATCCAAAGTCTGTTTTGTTTGAAAAAACTGTTCATGATTGAATTTAGAATGTGAAAAGAGAAACTGAAATATCTGTATTACACACCGCCTGTTTGTAGTACTTTTAGTTTTCTGTGTATCACTTGGGGTCTTCAGAAGCAGAGGCTGAATACACAAGATGGGTTTGGGGTGAGACAGGAAGGGCAAAGGGGCAAGCAGAAGGAGAAGGGGGAAGCCCTCTCCACCCACCCTGCAAGGCCAGCAAGCCCAGGACGCGGTGTCCCAGCCACGGGACAGGACCCCCCCACACACCAGGCGCAGTGGGGGCGGGCTGCTGGGACTCCCGGGAGGGGAGCAGCCCACCGGGCACAAAGTATCTTTGACCAAAGACTCGAGAAGATTTGATGCAGTTTTTAAAACCAGAGCGGATGCAAGACAAACAAACAAAAACGGATGAACAAGATGTTAAATTTTTAAATCCAGCCAGACAATGTCATTGATTTTTCCTGTTGCTTCCGGCTTCAGTGACTCCACGAGACGATGCTGATTCACCACATCCTGGGAGGGGAGGGGAGGTCTTCCACAGCAGCGGGGAATTTTCCACAGCCCTGCACCTTGGGCACATTGGCTCGCATACTGAAGTTCCTCTATAAGAATTGCGTGTGTGGGGAGGCAGGGGTGCTCTGGTGCAGAGGACTGTAATGCTGGGTATGCCCAAAGCAGGCTGTGAAGAGCTAGCCCCACATTGGCTTGTTTTGAGGAGTCTGGCTGCAGCCTATGTGCGGAGGTCAGTCACTCACATCCAAGTTCTGTTCCCACAGCTAAAACTTTCAGACTAGAAGGACAATGTTCCAATTACAACCATATATTGTCTATTCCGTTCCTAATTTGAGAATGCTCTTTCTCGTCCTTTATGAGCCTTGTTTAAATTAATGTGCATGGAAACCACACATCACCTTTACCCCAATTGATTACCATTAAAAGTCAGTGCCTAGGACCGTCCATCGCCTTTGTGGGTCGCGCTGGCATTCGTCATCCTGGCACCCCACTTTCTCCCTCTCAGTTCTGTCTCAGTGTATTTTTTTTCAGGCCTTCGTCACATACTGGGCAGGTGGGTACTGGAACCTGACGACCGGGGAACTACTCTGAACACTCCAGTGCTTACTTGCAGAGGTTCATAGTGAAGGGTCCTTCTACTGACCACAAATGGCTTACACAAAAATGTACTATATATTTTTATTTACTTTAAGAAGTGTATATTGTGTGTATATTAAGCCGTATGAGTTTGTTTTCTGAGACAGTCTCGCCATATAGCCTTTCAGGCCAGCCTCAAACCCACAGGGGTCCTCCTGCCTCAGCCTTCCACGCCTGGGTTAGGCCACATACTTGTGACATCTTCAGTGACTAGCTCACGGTTCCTTGAGGGTTAGGGTCATGTGTCATCAATCATCCCAGCCTGACACAGAAGGTACATAAAAGTTATTCAGGGCCAAGGACGTACGTACCTCAGTGGCAACGTGCCTTCCTGGCAAGTGCAAAGTCCTGAGTTCGATTCCGAGTACCAAAAAAAAAGTTTATTCAGAACTTGAACATGTGAGCTGGGGCTTTAGTACAGCGGTAGACCATGCGCTCAGCCTGTGCCAGATCCTGTGCTCGAGCCCAGGTTCAGAAGCAAAGATGCTAGACGAGGTGTTGATACACCTTAGCCCGGCAACTGAGCAACTCAGTGAGAGTCCGTGGCCAAACAGAAAAGGGTTGGGGATTTAACTCATTGCGAAGGCTCCGGGTTCAAACCCCGGTATCACCCCCTCCAAACAAAATCAATACAAAGCCGGGTGTGGTGGCGCATGCCTGTGATCCCAGCAGTTGGGAGGCTGAGGCCAGCCTAGGCTACATGGCGAGTTCCACGGCAGTATGACCTACATAGTGAGACCCTGTCTCAA